GGCTGTCGTAGAGTCTCCTCTTCAAAATACTGTCCATACTTTCATGTATATTGTTCATCAAAACAAAACCAGCTAAAATAATACCATTAATTAGAACAAAGCAAAGCAGTGATAAAAGTATTTGCCTTCATAGAGATGGTAGAAGGAAATTCCCCGTTTGCTGCATTGCCTATGGTCAGCCTCGCAGGGGTGTCCAGCTCACTGGCTCCCACTTGCCAGCGGGGTGGTGGCTGCAATGTCTGATTCTCAGCCCATGGCCAACAGGCTCACAGCCCTCACCAGGAGGGAGGGGTTGCTTGCTTTCCCGGGATATCAGGTCCCAGCATGGCGTGGATCCCAGTAAACGCCAATAGCTCCCCACTTCCATGGTCTCTTTCTGGTTTATAGAAAATAAACTATTAACCGGCAGCAGAAAGAGCAATGATGCTATCTCGGCTCAGGAACCTGTGCTGGCTGGGGAGCAGCACGGGCTGGGCCCTGAATGGCAGCAGCTGGCCAGGAGGAGCCTGCACCCCTGCAGCCCAGCAGCTGCCTCTCCCTTTGAATCAGCTTGTTTTGCTGCTATTAGCAACCAGTGGTTTCTGAGGCCAGGCAAATGCCACTGCTACAGGATAATATCAGAACCCAATAAATAGGATAGAAATATTACCAATCTCAACCTGTTAGATGTCTGATACGGCCCAAGCTGGTGTTCTCTAAAATTGAAGAATGAATTCTAGAAATGATGGGATAGGAAATATTTACTGGGGGAGAGACAGCCTCTGCCTAAGAGGGACAGGAGGAAGCACCTGGAGAGCGGATTGCCTTAGGACCTCAGGGGAAGTTTCACAGAGGGCAACCACAGAGGTACAATGTAGGTTACAGCTACGGTCAGCCGATCAGATGCCAAGGAGAGCTGCTTGGATAATATTGATCCAACGGGGAAGCAAGTTGCGCACCAAGTCGGCATGGAAAGATCTAAGAACTTCTCAGGGAGGGGATGCATCCGGGGTCTTGGTTGCCCAGCAGAGGTGACCGACGCCTGTCTAGACCAGGTATTCTCTCTCATCTCACCCGGTCCTATTGTTATCTTGAGGCCTGGTCTTCAACGGATGGGTCTCTGGCCACAGTGTATGTTTTCACTTCTTGTCTTGACTTTTTCCCAAGGGCCCAGCCCGGCTGGTTGCCCATGAGATTCCTTCCTAACTCAGCTGTGGACTGGACACTGCAGCACTCCGCTCTTCTCCACCGGGCCCTCCCTCGACTCAACCCAGCAGGAACAAGGACAGGCTCATAGGGAGCCACTATTTCACACCTGCCCAAGTCATGGAAGGTCAGGGTGCCATTTGGTATCTGAAACTAAGCAAAAGATCCGTATACTTTTAGAGAGAATGCTATTCACTCACTCGCTCACTAAGTACTGATATCTTATTCATCACTGAATCAGGCCTTGAGTTTTTGCCAAGTTGAAAGTCCATGTGTAACAAATTTCTGATTGTATTTTAAAAATTCCTAACATATGAGAAATGAAGCTATTCACTTGCTTCCCTTGAATTGAAGCCTAAGCTTGAGCTGAGTGTGGGAGGCTGAGGCAGGAGGATCACTGTGAATTCAAAGCCACATAATAAATTCAAAGAACTGGGCTACAAAATAAATTCAAAGTCAGCTAGAACTACATAGGGAGACTGTCTCCAAAAACAAAATGAAACAAGAACCCAGAAGTTAAGTTTGAGAATTCCTCTGCGTATGTGTGTGTGTGTGTGTGTGTGTGTGTGTGTGTGTGCCAGTTCTGCAGCCTGCAAGCCGCATGACCTTTCCTCCTCCCTCTTCCAAGCAAGGGTCCAGCCAAAGGTGCCCAGAGCCCTTCAGGAACCCCAAGTCTACAGATGTGAAGTAGCATATCTCAGATGACAGCTCATCTAAGGTCATCAGATGAGTAGACCAGTGACCCATCTTGTCAGTCCTTTAGTTTGGACCCAGCAGTAAAGGGTTTTTTGGTTTTTGTTTTGGTACCAAGGATCAAACTCACAACCTCAGGCTTGCCAGGCAGGTGCTTTTGCGGCTTAGCTAAACCCCCTGTGCTGGTGCAGTCTTAAGACAGCAATTTATGTTTGCCGGTCCGTTAAGCAAAACAGCAGCAGAAAGGAGACCTAGGTGGAAAGTTTTGTGTTAGTATCTGTTTCTTCCTTGTAAGACTCCGGTGTGTCTTGTACTCTGAGTAACCACTTAAAAGACAATGATTGACAGTGTATTGACTTTTTATTTTGTTACGAAATTTTATTTTTCCATAAAATTTAAAAAGAAAAAAGGAGAGCCCAAGTGACCACGGACCTGAGCACTGCAGCCACCGAAGGGCCTGCCCTGCCTTTGCACCTGAGGAGGGACACAGTGCCCCCTCCCCGCCATGCTGCCCGGCGCCACGCCGCCAGCCCTGCTGATAATCTGTGGGTGTCGCAATCTTGCATTCTCCCCTTAGGATTCTCCCCAACCTTTCCCCCCTGTGTGGATGGCTGGGAGTGGTCACAGCCTGCCCAGGCAGGCACCTGCCTCGGCGCCGAGCCCAGCGGGCGGGGAGGCCAGCGGAGTCTGTATGTAAGTTGCGCAACCTACGAAGCCCTTTAAGGAGCTGTGTCCTTGTTGCCTGAGAAACTTCACAAGCCTCCGAGCCTGTGCGCTCCTGGTATGGAAGCCGGGACTGAGCGAGCGCCCGGATTCTGCAAAGCGGCCAGCCTGGCCACCGGGGGCGCCCTGCCACGCGGCTGCATCCCGGATGTGCGGGACAGCTTGGGGTTTGGTTCCTAAAAATGCTTTCCAGTTGCCAGAAATTTAGCTCAGCGGCCTGCCTGGCAAGCGTCAGATCACGCGTTCAATCTCTGGTGAAAAAAAAAAAAAAAAAAAAAGCTTTCCAAAAGCATTTCTCGAAGTGAAACTCTGTCACTTGCCCCTTTTTTAGTAGTGATCCACATACCGGGTTTGGTAAACCTTAAGAAAAGGGTCTTTTGGCTTTTCAGACTCTAGGATGGGCCGGAGCTTCATGTGGAACAGTGCCCGCTGTTTTGAGGGAAGAGCCTCTCTCCAGTGCAGTCACAAAGGGCAGATGATACCTCTTCTTACAACACATCTGGTCACCCCACTTCTTCTTGTAGGTAGAATGGGGAAACAATACAACCTTCATTTGGTACAGGCTTAAAAACAGGTCAACAACAAAGTGGGTACTGGCATAGTGGTACACACCTGTAATCCCAGCATAGAAGGCTGAGGCAGGAGGATTTCAGGAGCCAGTGTGAGCAATTTAGTGACTTAAGGAGACCCTGTCTCAAAATGAAAAAGACCTGGGGTGTCGATCAGTACTAGAGCTGAGTGAGGCTCTAGTTTAATTCCTGGCACCATACACACACACACATACACTTCCCAAACAGAAAAGTCTGCTACTTATTAGTAAAACTTAAAATAATTCCAGTGGAGATGGCACCTTCCAGGACCATCATGTTGGGACTTTACTGTGCTCTTCTGTTTTTAACTAAATGCTTTTGAGAGCCACGGTCCAGGCATGGGCCTGAGAGAAAAAACCAATCCCCTTACAGTGTGACAGTATGAAAGGGGGGCAAGTGGCAAGGCAGAGGCTGGGTGACCGGTGACTGTCACGGTGCCCCAGCAGCAACAACGGAAGAAAGTGTTTGCATGAAAGTGGTTATGCCAGATTTCTTTGCTTTACTCGGGAGCAGCTCCCCGCCCTGACTGTAGGCCTTTCTCACCTCTAGGCATGGTGCGCCCTGAGATTTCCTAAAAGCAAGTTTTAGCAAGAGGTGGGAAAAGCCCAGCAGTGGCCAGGGGCCTGTGGGTGCTGGCTCTGGGATCCCCATGGCAGAAGACAGTGCTACTGCCTTCCTTGGTGGCTGCCTCCAGGAGCTCGCCCATCAGAGGGACTTAGAAAATGCGGTGGCAGCAGGCACAGAAAAAACCAAATTGGCTGCCTGCCGGGTCCTCACCTTGGCCATTTTCTACCCAACCTCTGTCACTTTGACTGGGCCCAGTTCAATCCGGTGTTCTAAGGACATCGTCCCTGTCAGCAGGGTCAAGTGGCAGCGTCCATGGCTACTGATGAGTGCCCGCTGGGTATCCTGGCATCCTCAGAGCACCTCTCTGTGGCCGGGGACTTGGCCACTCCAAGTCCTCACATACCTTAATTAACCATGTGGCACCAAGTGTCTGCTAAAAGGCGGAGGGAACAGGACACTCAGCACCTCAGGCTCACTCGTCTAGTGACACCTTGTCCTGTTCAGCGAGTCTGCAGGAAGCAGCCCTGGCAACACCCCCAAGTGCCCACCTCGCCATCTCCTGGGATTAATCTTCTGGGCTGCATTATGTGGGGCTCCTGCTGTTCCCTAAAGCAGATGGGCCCCACTTGGGGAAGGGTACAAAGTGCTATGGTAGATCCCGAGGCTGGGGGAGGTCCCATTTGGGGCCTGGCCATGGGGACACGGCATCATGTCCTCACTTCCGATGCTGTTCTGTGTGTGATGAGGAGGCATCTTCCCTAAAAACTACTCAGCTATTGTTTCTGGGATTTGAAAGATGTTAATCTTCAGGCTGTTATGTTCTAGAGTGACTTTTTTTTTTTTTTGGTCTTTTTTCATTTTTATCGGTACCGGGGATCGAACTCACGACTGCCTGCTTGCAAGGCAGGTGCTTATGCCTCTGAGCTAAATCTCCAGCCCCTCTAGAGTGACTTTTTAAGAAGGTACGCTCTACCTTAGCGCCACTCAGCTGTGACATACATCCTCTTGTGTGGGGCAGGTGATGGACACCAGAGCCCACCCAGAGGACCGGTACACTCAGCCAGGGAAGTGGGAGGGAGGGAGGCTCCCAGCCAAGCTCACGTGGAGCTCAGAAGCTGGTGGCCCCTCAGGGACCCCGAATTAAGGCAAGGATGTCAGTGTGGGCAGCTCCGGGGAAGCACTCGGCTAGGAAAGGGTTAATGCCCTCCACCCCAATCACATCAGCCACAAATGAGACGAATGTTATTTTAAGTTATTTATTTTTTCTATAATACATTTCATTCAAATCATAAAACAGTCTAATACATTTTTTTCTCAAGTACAAATTATACTCATTTCCGATGTTTTCCTATAGGATGGACAAAAATAGTCACCTTTGAACTGACAAAAACGTCACTCAGAGCTTAACTACTGCGTCCTAGGCCCAGCCTGAGCGGCTGAGATGGACACAGCGCCCCCACCTCCCACCTGTCACCGCCACCACAGCGTCCCTGAACCACCCTCACGGAAGCCGCCAAGCATTCGTCCTTCCCCACTGGAAGCAACTGCAGGAAACCCAGGAATAATAAAGTATACAGAAATAGCTCTTCTATAAAATTTCCATATAAAAATAATGGCATTTATTTACAAAGTCTGAGATCCTACAAAATAACGCGTTAAGTACCGTCAGTCTACTAGAGACTGCGGGAGGCGCGGCAGATGCGGGTTCTTTCCCTTGTATGAACTGCGTAAACGCGGGGCACCATCATGTGGCCTCATGCAGGGAAAACCAGAAGGATTTTTCAATCTGGAAACAAAACCTAACAGCTCATGATCAGGACAAAGCATCTTCCAAGGGAAGTGACCCACTGTGAGTGGGACCTGCGGCTTCTCTCCAGGGGCGGTGGAGACAGGCGGGGACGCTGTTCCTAACGTTCCTAACGTGGCCCAGCGCGGGCTCCGGAGCAGCCTGTGCTGCCCCGGCATGAGCTTCTGCTCCTCAGAGCACCGAAGGGCTGACCCTTTCCCGGTACTACGACAACCTGCCCTGAGAAGCCTTTCTAGCAAAGCAGCTAGGTCATCAAAGGCCTTCTGGGATAAAAACTCTTTGCCCCTGGTCTGAACAAGCAGAGTCTCGAGGCCACTTGTAATTAGGTGCCTGGCATGGTGAAGCGTGTTGAGTGACAACTGGTGAGTTTGGAGCGAGGCATGAAGAAATTATGGCTTTTACAGTCCAAACAGGGCCTGGGGAAGCTCCTTCACGACACTCACACACACAGGACGGAATCAGTTAGTGTGCCACACAAGGCGCATGCGGGACACTCGGCCTCTCGTCTCCCCGACAACGACCAGGGACAATGAGGCTGCTGCTGGGGAGAAACGGGTTTCCCAGCTCGGAGCGGCTAAACTGGGGTCCCGTGTTGAGGCCCCAAGCGGCCAGCACGTGCTGGGCTGGGAGAGGAGTCCCATGTCTGCGCCAGCGGTTGGCACTTGGTGACAGCTGGGCCAGCGCTAAGCCAAGGCCCCCCGCTAAAGACGGTGAGGGTATGGTTTATGAGGCCTTATGGGCCTCACAGGATGTTCACACGGCATGTGAGCTTCCGCCACACCTCCAGCCGCGTGGGCCGCAAGTGACGTCACCACGCTTACGCCTGGGCAGAACGGGCAAGGGGTCGGTGAGCCCCTGCTTCAGCCGCGCTGGCTCCCCTGCGAGTCGGGGCGCAGTTGGAGGGTCAGCCCTGCATCCCCCACTTTGCCCGTAGCGTTCTATGAACACAGATGTGTGGGAAAACTGGATCCCACTGATGAAGCGTAAATTTTCAGAGATATTTTGGTTAAAGGGACTAGTTCCTGAGACTGTAGTAACTTACATGGGCACTGAACTCGAAACGTTTTTAAAAGGTAGAATTTTAAGCTATTACCAGAATTTTTCTCTTTAGGCGTTTGGCTTGAGTAGTTTAAGAGAACACTGAACTGGGGCGGGAAGGCACATCTGAGGGTCACACCAAGGCCACTGCAGTGTCGTGGGGCGGGAACCACTAGGCGAGCTCCAGAGCAGGAACTGAGGAAAACAGCTCTTAGGGGGCTGGTCCACAGCCTCGCCAAGGCCATCTCTTTTTTTGGTCTTTTTTTTCCTTTTTATAGGGGATCGAACTAATGGCTGCCTGCTTGCAAGGCAGGCGCTTATGCCGCTGAGTTAAATCCCCAGCCCCGCCAAGGTCATCTTTTGTGTTTTTAAAGTAGGCCTTTATTTGTCCAACAGCCTGGAGGACTTGCTTGGCTTCTGTGCGTGCTCTGCTGGACGGTAGAAAAAGCTGATGAGACCTGCATGGGGCCCTGAGACTTTGTTTTGTGGGTATAACTGACAGCTAAGTTTGGTACTCTTTTCTTCCAAACCCTGCTCCATAGTTTTAAGTCCCATAGTACAGTCTTAAGGTTTACCTCACAGGCCATCCATTGGGGACAACCAGTTTTGTTAAGAGAGTCTGACACTCAAAGGCCTTTGAGTCGTTTATGCACTGGGTGTGGTAGTTTACCGCGTGATCCCACTCACTCAGAAATCTGAGCCCAGCCCCAGACCCTGTCTCAAAAGGGCCGGTGGTGCTGGGGCAGGTAACTCAGCCCAAGGGCTCCGGGTTCATTCCCTCATACCACACACACCAGATTTCTCTCTCTGGGTGTGGATCTGGCAAAAATGGCCAAGGCTGATCCCATCACCTGCTCACTATCCCCCAACACACAGACCCAGCCCTCGAGCTGTCCTGAGTCTTACATCACATCAGAGCTTTCAAGTCTATCACCTAAGAAGCCAGCAAGAGTTCTGATTTAGCAAACGGCCAGGCTAAACATAGTTGAGGTGACAGCGAGGCCCTCCATCACCCGACCATGTGAATTACATACAGTGGCCACTTTCCCTTCAAGGACAGATGGATCTGGCATTAGTTCTCAGATATGGCTGAGTACTGTTACAACTGCAAATTTTTAATGGAAGGAGTTATTCTTTCATCATGGTAAAAGAAACTAGAGATTTATTTTATGGTCTTGGGGACAGAACTTAAGGCCTTCGCACTCAGCTATCACACTGAACCTGGCCTATTTTATATTACTTGAGATGTCTTACTAAGCTGCCCTGCCGAGCTCTAACTTCTGACCCTCCTGCTCCAGCCTCCACAGTGCTGGGATGTCGGCATGCCCCTGCACATCCAGCCCTGCTACTTCTTTAAGGAACCAAACCGAAGCCTGCAAACCTGGTGGTAAGCACTCTACGTCCTTGGAGGTGGCAGGCAGCGCTGAGGCAGAGCACTGCAAGCGCCCCTCTTGCCCTCCCCTTGCCCTCAGTGGTCTACGGCATGGTGTCCACCAGGGCTCACTGAAGGGCAAGTGTGTGAGGGACCTGGACAATGGGACTGGAGGAAGGGACAACTGGGAGCACCCAGGACTTTGGCTCTGCCATGTTCCAGCAGCGCTTTTCCATAAAGGGTAAAGTGGTGAGGCACAGAACTCAGTGGAGCGGGGCTTTGCTAACTCAAGGGTCTGATGTCAGCAGAGAGGGCCTCTCAGGCTCCCTAGACAGCAGTGGGGGGACCAAAACCCCATGGAAAGGCTGTGTCCCCCCAAGTAACTTTGTGGGCCATTCACACAAAGCAGCCCAGGTGTTATGACTGCAGTTTCTTTAACTCCTGTATGAAATCCTGACTCAGCGTGAACTTGGACCCATATGGGTAGGTGTGCTGGAGAACAGATGAACAGAATTTATCTTCCACAGCACTTTGACCTAGCCTTCCCACGTAAGGTTTGAGAACAGCAACACGAGGCAGTGATCATGCTGTCACTGTGCAAAAGGCCTTCAGTGATCACTGAGGAACAGGGACTTCTTGCCAAGGCCACACAGCATTGGCTGGGAGGGCAGTGGATGGGAACCCAGATGGACCCATCTTTGGTGCTTTTTTATTTTTTAAGCCCATGTCTTATCAACTTAAAGCACTATAGCAACAGAAGAAGACATAAGGAAACAGCTTCCCAAAAACTTGACCAAGAATTCTGCTACTTAGAAAAGGAATCTTAAATTCTGAAATGTATATTGGGAGCTGTGGTTTAACATTTTGAGGACCAGGAAGGCAGCCATGGCCCTTGGCCGCTCCAGCTCCCTGCCAGGCTCCCTTCAGGGAGAGATGAGAGACTTGGGACTGGCACATGGCAGTAGCCTCTTTGAGGACTACGTGGCAGAGGACCTGGGCCATTGCATCTGATCTGTGTAGGCAGAAATAGCTGTCACAGGCTTGTGGCACCTGCTGTCACTTCTGCAGCATTCTGGATGCTTCCATCTGAGGTTCTGAGACATAGGTGTGCTCTGACCTCTGCCACAAGATTTCTGGAGCACCTGCCATGCGTTCCCTGCCCCATGAACATGCAACAGCTTGGTTCTGCCAGAATGAGAGCTCTGTCGTCCAGGAGCCTGAGCTGAAGCTGTGTGTTCTTTGTCAGCGTTTGCATAAGGTCTTAACAAAAATGGGAGCCAGTGGAAACCTTTGCCTGCAGCTGACTGGAGCACAGCGGGACTTTAGAAAGGCTTCCCTGGCAGTGAGGGGAGACCCAGTGTAGGCCCCACTCGGGGCTGGGCCCATAGATGCTAAACACACGAGCTCAGGACAACTCTCCCCCGGGTCAAGTCAAAGTTTTAAAGTTATTTTTTCTGTCTTCGCTCCTTTTTAAGGCCTTAATGAATAACTAAGTTGGGTTTGGGGCCTGGTGGCAGATATCCACGTACTCCTCCCTTCAGAGAAGCGGTGAATATGAACACCCCAATGCAGTATTTCCAACAGCATTTTTGGCTACAAAATTGCACACTACATACCAACTTCTGTGTATCCAATCAACTGGAGTGTTCAGTGTTTTTTCACAGAAACACCAAATATTGGGTTAGTTTGACATGTAATTTACCCAGGAATGAATCTAGTAAGGTCATTTGGATTAATTAAAATGTCGGGGAGAGAAAGGTAGCATGTACAAGAAAACATTACTGTTCATATTCTTGAAATAAGACTTTTCTTTCAAGACAAAAGTAATGACATTTGGTTCAGTTTCACAAATTGCACAGTGGGTAAAATCACACAATTACTGCAGAGAGCTGTAGGCAAGCAGTTTGGTCATAGAATTTGCTTTGTTTCATTGTGAATGAAAAAGCTGTACGAAATGCATAGCTTTGATTAAAACTATAGATACAGTTCCCTTCTCTCTCTGTAGAACTCCAGATTTAGAACGCTGGCAGAAGGCAGTGCTGGCAAATGTTAATGCACATGGAAATGCTTTCTATTTTGGCTCCCAGAAGTAGCCCTATTAAATTCTATGCACCAATGCATTGGCTAATAATGATCATATCAGTTTTACTATAAATTATTCTAAATGTCACTTAAGTACTTAAGAGTTAGCGCTCGCTCCTTTCTGAAGCTAAGGCAGCAGATGCCTAGAGCACCTCAACTAGACGTGCAGTTAAATCTGCACTCCCAGGCTGCAGGACTGCGATCTATGCCCCTCACCGCACAGCCCCCAAATAAGGACACCTGTTCACTCTGCTGGTAAAAGGCAGCCCAGGCGAGGGACAGGAGGAAGAGACATGGCCATTGCTGAGGACTGTTCCGTGTAGCAGTCTCAGCTCCCACATGACTACACGGCCATGAGGAATGCAAAGACCCTGCCTCGTGGAAGCTGAGCGAGCCTCTTCCATGCTGCCGCTTCTCTGGGGATTATGCCCCTTCTATCCCTCAGAAAACAGACTTTGTTTGCGATGTGATCTACTGCTCTGCTGGGGAGAGCTTTCATTTACGCTATGTTAACTTTCATTTCAATCAACTTGGCCTTCATGTGATTTGCTTATTGTGTTTCTCTGGTTTTCACTGAACACACAGTGCAAACAAAGGCAAAGACTGAAGCAATCATTTCAAAAACGAGCTCACACTAAAAACACACATGAGCATCAAATAGTAAAATGTGACTTTTCTTCCGTCTTTATTCTGGAGAGGAGGAATCCTCCTCGTCATCCTCCTCGTCTTCATCGTTGAATGAACAGGGGGTCTCGCCTCGTGACTCGGAGCAGTGAGAGGCCGCACTGCTGGACTGCTGACTGTTTGGGGCAAGCAACTGCCCAGTTGCTAAGGCCACTTCAGCATCCAAGCATAACCCTTGGTTTACACTAGCAAACAGTTAGAAACACAGGTTCATTAATGCGGTAGGAACAAGAAAACACAGAAATACAGACAGGAAGGAAGTGCCAGGGGCAACATGGTATGGCAGTGACACAGCCCTGGCTTACCCCTGCAGAGGAAAGGCTTCGTCATTTGCCTTTCTAACTCTGGAAAGAATACCTACCTCGACTGGGATAAGGTGGCACCAGAGGTCAAGTCTAAATTTGATGCTGACTGGGCAGAGTTCAAAAGTAGTCCCTGATTTAACCAAGAAGGTCCTGTGGAGATATCTAAAAAAGAGAGAGAGAACGAAAGAGTAGGCTCTGCATATTTTGTGGCTGCTGTTGTGATAGTGTGTGAAAAAAGCATAGATGATTCGGGGATAAATGTTTTTACCTACAGCTAGACAATTCTGCTACCCAGGGAAGAACTCAAGTTCCTTCATCTTCCTGAAGGAAAACAGTTTCTAGAACACAGGAGAGGAAAAAAAAAAAAAGACTAGGCAAAGCAGGGAGAAAGAATAAAGTGAAACAATCATAAACTCTTTGTTTTCCTCAGAAAACCTCCAGCAGGCTGCCTGGCCCAGCGATCAGTGTATGCGACCCTGGACACCTGCCGCCTTCGTCCTTGCTCAAGTGTCACAGCACAGCGAGGGCAGCGGAGAGCAGAGCTGAGCGGTGTCTCGGTGAGAAGGCACCAGCCCTGCCCACGGACAGGCACTCTGCTCGACTGCTTTTTAAATTCCTGCTGGTGAACTCTATGCTATTCACTCATCAAAGATCTATTCTGTTTCTGAAGCTTTTTCCTGGTGCTATTTGCTTTATAGTTCAAATTTGCCCTTATTTTAAAAGGTCATGCTTTTAATGAGGGAGTTTTTTATTTTTTTAAATGCAGTCGTGTTTTTAATATGGGCCTGCAGCTGATAGTTCAGCTTATGCAGCTGAGCTAAATCCCCATGTGAGGCAGACATTACTGTTGATAGAAACTATTTTGGGTATATCCTTGCAATCTTATTTTCTGTGCATATGCCACAATTATATTACAGCACTGATCAACTCTTACTGCAATTCTGCTCAGTATTTATCTCCCTACCTAGATGTTAGTTCAAAGGAGGCAGTAACTGAACATATAAGATCTAAACAACAGTGAACCAGAGCTGTCTCTTTCAACAGTGACTTTAAGAAATAAGTAGCTGAAACGTAAGAAATATACTCTGAAATAAGAAAACAATTTTATTTAGGTATGATAAAACCTAAGGTATCCTCACAAAATATAATTTGTCGAAATGAACTTTTTTTTCTTGGTACCGGGGATCGAACTCACTACTGTGTGCTTGCAAGGCAGGCACTTATGCTGCTAAGCTAAATCCCCAGCCCCTCAAAACAAACTTTTATTTAATAAAAATTTTTAAAATAACTGTTAAAAAAACAACTGTATACAGAGATCAGAAATTCTGGCATGCTGCTACTGCCTAACCAGGCAAGAGCTGTCCCTTAATTTCAGGGTGGCTTTGTGAACCTTTTTCTTCACAGGATAATTAAGGCAGCTGTGAAGAAAAAAGAGGACTCCAATTCTAAGAACAGCAGACTTTAAATACATTACATGAGAACAATTTTTTTTTGTCTTTTTCGTTTTTATCGGTACCAGGGATCGAACTCATGACTGCCTGCCTGCAAGGCAGGCGCTTATGCCGCTGAGCTAAATCCCCAGCCCCACATGAGAACAATTTTGTACAAAATGATGAAGTGAGGTCCAGAATCGTGTGCTATTAACTACTATAAAGCACTATGAAAACTTTCAGTCAGAACACAGCTATTTACTTGTTTGTGAGTATAACAGATTAGATTTTCCTTTTACAATGGACCTGAAAAGCCTACGTTTCTTTCACATTTGCATAGAAGCCATAGAGTGGTTCTCATATTCTTACCCAAAAGCACTACTGTGCCTTTCCACATAAAAGGCATATGTGGGTCCTTCTGAACTAACCAGAAATCTGTATCCCTGTCTATAAATGAGGTCACGAAGAGATCAGACCAAGGAGCCTGCCATTATAATCACCCAAGGCTCCTCACCAGGAATGAGCTCAAGTTCTGCTGATTTACTGGACAAGCCCCTTCTGCAGACCCTGCTGGATGTTCAGGGTGACCAGGTTGCTGATGAAACAGCAGGACGCAAGCCAGAGTGGGAAGTGGGGAGCAGGTGGAGACAGGCACAGGGTGGCGGGGGGGAGGGTGAACGGGGGTCACATTTGAAGCCAACAAACTTCTCCTTTGTGAACAAAGGCCAAAGTAAATTAAAACTGCTATTTTGTATATATTTAACATACCTTAGATGAATGTGATCATTAAATATATCAAAGATGTACTAATAAATTCTGATTGGAAAAAGTCTTTTGCATATGACCAATATATCCAAATAAGATTAACTAATGCACAAAATGTATAAATGTACAAAAATACGGAATATATTTTAGAACTATACTATTAAAATGCTGTTAACAAGTGACATGGAGGGCCGGGGATTGGAGCCTGCCTGGCAAGCACAAGTCATGAGTTCCATTCCCCGTACCAAAAAGAAAATAAAAATAAAAAAGAAGTGACATGGATGTGTTCAATATCCAGCCCTGTGAAAGAAAACAAAAAAATCAAGATCAAAACAATAAAAAAGAAAGTGATATACAGGAGCTCACACCTGTAATCTCAGCTACTGAGGAGGCTGAGGCAGGATTGCTTTAGCCAAGGTTTTGGAGGATGGTGTAGGCAACACAGCAAGACACTGTCTCAAAAAACCAACCCAAGACAAAACATGATGCGAAGTTCTAAATGACAGCAAGGCCAAGCACATTGTTTAAGCATTCAAATATTTGTAGAATATGTGTTTACAGGAATTAGGACAATTGTGATTTTTAAATGAAAAACACCTGGATCACAGAAAATGTAAAACAGTGTTTTGCAAATGCATGCAGTATATTTTTGCAACTCATAGTAAGACAAGTAGCTCAAACTATCTCCAAGGAAGATACACAAATGGACAATACATGTATGAGAAGGTGCTCAACATCATAAAATTATTAGGAAAATGCAAATAAAAGTCAGTGAGTTATCAGTTATATCGAACAGGAGGACTACAGTTAAAAAGATGGTCAGGGAGAGGGTACAACTTGGGGGCAGAGCCCACGCTTAGCATGCACAGTCACGTGCCATAGTTACAAAAGCAAAAAGATGGGCAAGGGACAGTAACAAGTGTAAAGAATGTGGAGAAATTGTAGCCCCCTCACCAGGAGGCAGGAGGACTGCTGTGAGTTCAAGGTGGGCCTGGGCTACAAAGTGAGTTCATATCAAGACCCTCTATCAAGAAAACAAAGACACTGGAACCCTCAGACATTGCAGGTAGGATTCTTAAAGCTTACTCCAAGAGATATTAGGCTGTTGTGGGAATTACAGATAAAATGTATCTCTGGAGTCAAAATGTAGTAGGTTGAGATATAAGATGCTGTAGAGTCAATTCAGTGATGGGCCAATAGTTTATAGCCAGGAAATGTATTCTGTAGAGAAGCAAGTTTGTAATATTATAAAAATAGCCTACTCAACTTTTGAAAAAAGCTCCTGAATTTATACAATTGTTACACATTTCAATTTGGTGATGCAAGCACAGATCTGATCAAATTCTGCAGTTTGCTTAACAAGCTTGGCTTTGACCTTTAATCAGGGACAACAGGTGCCAGCGCTGGGTGACATACCTGTGATATAACTTTCTAAAGCCTTTGGCACCAGCGATTTAGCGAGTTTCAGGTCCTCCAAAGAGCATTTGCCTGACTCCAGGCCAAAGGACATTCCCATTCGCTTCAGCACTTCTATGTCATCGTGGATTTCAAAGGTGTTGTCAAAATTAAAGAGATATTCAAACCTGCAGCACAAAACAAAGTGAAGATGAGGCTGTCAGAGACTGGTAAGTACAGACATCTGAATGGTTCTGGATTCTGCACTTTTAGAGAATGAAGATCTAAATTCAGCCATGGTACTAGAAATTGTCCCCATTTACAGCACTGAGTCATGTTGTGTTCAGGGAATGAACTTTCAAGCAATCCATTTCTAATTAAAATAGCTTTCCTGAGACAGGCCACAGAAGTTCATATGTGTTTTGTTTTATTTGAGACAGGGACTTGCTGTATAGTTCAGGTTGGCCTTGAACTGTGTAGCCTAGGCTGACCTCTAACTCGTGGCAATCCTCCTGCCTCAGTCTCCTGAGGGCTAGGATTTCAGGTGTGCACCACCACACTGGATTTAAATCCATACATTTTAGTCCTAGTGCTGTTGGCAAACAGGAGACAGAAGCTATGTTCTAAACTCAGTATTTTCAAAGTTGTCTACAGTTTTGCCACAAAAGCAAAGCCTGTCCCCGTACAGTGGGAAGCTGAGGCAGGAGAAGTCCAAGCAAGATCGGGCAATTTAGCTATTTCATGAGACCCTGTCTCAGGTTGAAAACACATAAAATGGCTGGGGATGTAGCTCAGTGGGAAGGCCCCGGGTTCAACCCTGGTACAAAAAACCAAACCAAACCAAACCAACCAGACCAACGCAAAACAAAATAGAAGTCACTTTAGTTTGATGTGGTATCTTTACTACGGCTGGTTACTGGCTTTGAGGAAAACATATTTTGAATCGTTACTTCATTTTCGTAAGTCAAGCATTCACGACAGAATGCTTTAGCTAACCACAAATACAGATCTGTTTTATTTTGTTTGTGATGTAGTCTTGCTTGCCATGCTGTTCAGGCTGGTCTCAAATTCCTGGGCACATGCATTCCTCCTGCCTCAGCTCCCAAGTACCTGGGACTATAGATATATACCAGTATGCTGGGGTTAAATGGAAGACAACAAACTAAACCAACTCTTCAATCCCCTCATGAAAGACAAAGCACTGAAATGGTTTTAGGAGAAAGTGTTACAAGCACATTTCCACATGTTCTTGCAAAGGGCTTGATCCAGACATCCAAAGTGCACACACAACCGAGAAGACACAATCCTCCAGCAGTTCCTTTGTGGGGCCTAGGACACCCTCACCATGGGCCTCAGCTCTGAAGGGTCAAGCACAGGTGCAGCTTCCGGGACCTTACTGGGAATTTCTATTAAAATCATGTGAGGGTAAAACGTTTTGTAACAGATATCTTTTTTTTTTTTTTTTTTAAATATTTGAGACAGGGTCTCTCACTATGCAGTTCAGGATGGCCTTGAACTTGCAACAATACTCCTGCCTCAGCCTCCTGAGTGCTGGGTATAACAGATCTTAGGTTAAGAGAATACAACGATTTTAAGCAAAATCCCATGTGTAAATATCCTAGAGTATATGAATGAGATACATTAATAAGTTTTTAGGAAAAAAAAAATCTGAACTTGGTATTCTTTGCCAAATTGATGATTTTAGGCATCTGCTAAAAGTAGACGGCTTTGTGAACTTAATCCTGGTTGTGGGAAAGCCTCCTAATTAAGGGCAAGACCACGTCACCAAAGTAATTGGTGGGAAGGGCTTCGCAGCCACCTTCAGCAACAAGCGTGTGCAAGCCACCCACATGGGGTAGCTGGGCAGGGGTGAGTCAGAGGCCACCCAGGACGCAGTGCCTGCAGGTTCTTGCCTGGGAGAACAGTATCCACAGTCCTCTAGGCCAACAGTTTTGAAGTTCCTTCATACGCTTCTTTTGTCTTAAAAGACTGGCCTCAGTAAAAGGATTTTATCCTCTCCCACAGAAGTAGTTACCTTTAGAGAGTAATACAAGGTGAGATTTGGGGTCTTTCCTAAAATGATGGTAACAGTTCTCTTAAATGTAGGTTTTTGCAAAGAATGTATAAACTTGTGAATAATAATTCAGACATGTAACATTTGCTAACCACTGGTCTGAATCCTGTATAAATTTAAGTATGGCTTTTGTAAACAGGCAAGATAAAATATTGTAATTCTTACTTTCTTTGGTTTTTTTGAGACGGCCTTGCTAGTAGTTTGGGCTGGCTTTGAACTCACCACGTAGTCTAGGCTGCCCATGAACTTGCAACAATCCTGACTCAGCCTCCCAAGCACTGGCATTACAGGTATGCACCACCATGCCTGGCTCTAATTCTTCTGTTTGTGGAAGTAACAAGATCTCACAAAGGCTACAGTTTTTGCAGTCTCTACTATTTATTATGTCTGTACATTTCAAATATTTTTGAAACCTCTTTTCACTATCTCTTTTTCCTGTGTGTGTGTGCATGAGTGCACATGTATGAGCACATGCAGGTAGGTGTCCTCTTTTTAAGAGACCCAGAGTCCTTGTGTCATAAACAGGGGAAGCAAAGCTAGCAGACAAAAGCAGTTCCGGTTCCCTGAGGCAGTCTGGCGTGCCTGTGACACTGGTATCATTACTAAGAGTCTTCTTTCAATTTTAGAAGAACCCCAATTTGGACAACTATTGCCAACTTCTTGTAGTAGCAGCTAATATTTATAAAGCACTGGCTGTGAGTCAGACTCTATAGGAATTACCTCACTCAGTCCTCTTAATGGTTGGGAAGACAGAGAAGTCTAGCAGTACTGGGCACAACCTGAAGACCACTAGAACCTGAAGACCACTGGTTTTTATGAAAGGTCAAATAAATTACTCTATTTCTTTTCTTGCTATATGAATATTAGCATCAATTTTAGTTAAAATGTAAAAAACAAATAAAAAAATAAAAAAAAAAAGAAAAGTAAAATGCCCAGCATCTTAATGTCAGTTCATTACTAAGGAAAAGCACACATAAGTGTGATACAATAAAACAAACAATTGTTTAATGCCAAATGCTGATCTGGAAATAAACTATGACAGTGATTACCAGTAACCTACCTTCTCCTAAACCCTCAGAGACATCTAGCTTACTGCAGTTACATGCTCAAAATTAGCACTCATATGGCACCTCATTACCCTGGGCCACGACACATGCATTCCAGGAGGCAGAGTGGGCAGCACAGGACCAGGACGGGTCCCAGGACCAGGTCCAGGACAACAGCGTGAGTGAGGGTCACGGTAGGCACAGGCTGCACCCTGGTCCCATGGAAGCCGGCCGGAGGACAGCCACCTTTGCCCCGCAGATGCTGCAGTGAAGGTGAAGGAAGGGTGAAGGCACCTGCGCGGTCCCCATCCCTACTCACTTGTCACTGGAGATGCTGCAGTCTATAACTGTCTTTCTGCTCGTATTGATGATTATAAACGGCAGCTGAATGGTGGAGTTCAGTGCTGGAGGGCCCTGGTTTTGCTGTTCATTTTGTCGATTTCTCTGTACCAGGTTTTTGAAAGCAATTTGCTGTAATGGTCAATAGAAAAAAAATGGTGATTTAATGTAGGTAAGTGAGTTGGAACTTAAATAAAGTGATATAGATATATAGATATATAAATATATTGTCTTTCTGAGACAGGGTCTCACTGTGCAGTTCAGGCTGGCCTTGAGCTCACTCTGTAACCCAGGCTGGTCTCGAACTCGCAACAATCCTCCTGCCTCAGCCTCCCTACTGCTAGGATTATAGGCATACAGCATCCGGTCCAGCCTCAGCCTGTTATTTTAATAGTAAAAAGAAAAATCACCTCTCATTTTCACTGGAATAATTCTTTCTTTTCTCTTTCTTTCTTTCTTTCCTTCCTTCCTTCCTTCTTTTCTTTTCTTTTCTTTTCTTTTCTTCTTTCTTTCTTTCTCTCTCTCTCTCTTTCTTTCTTTCTTTCTTTCTTTCTTTCTTTCTTTCTTTCTTTCGTCTTTTTGAGACAGGGTCTCGCTATGCAGTTTCAGGCTGGCCTTGAGCTCACTGTGTAGCCCAGGCTGGTCTTGAACTTGCAACAATCCTCCTGCCTCAGCCTCCCAAGTGCTACGATTACAGACACCACCACACCCAGCTTTTATCACTGGAATAATTTTCTTATTTGTTGACCTTTGATTAATTTCCTTTAGTTTTTCTTTTTCAGACTTATTAACATTGATTTTAGAGCTTGAATAGCTTTACATGTGTTCAGTTCTGGAAAGATTCGAGGTCTGGGAGGAACAAAATGGGGCACGTAGATCATTTGCTCGCATAATTTATGCACACTATTCCTCTTTGCCCGGTTATGAAGGATAAAGGGGAGGTAGTGGTAAATAGGTAGTAGATTCCTGTCACATGACATCAACGTATCAGGAATTTACTTTAAAAAATCAAAAGAGCTTAGTCATAGCAAATAGTGTTCGGGGACGACTAATTTATTTTCTATGACAACTTCATAAACACCCCCACTCCTCACACTGGGGATGGCTGCCAGGGGTGCTCTACCATCAAGCAACGTCCCCAGTCCTTATTTTTCATCTTGAGGAAAGATCTAAATTATTCAGGCTAATTTCAAGCTTGTAGTACTCCTGCCTCAGTCTCCTAAGTAGCTAGAGTTACAGAAGTGTGCCACTACACCCACTACAACTTTGTAGATCTTACTTGAGCAAAGGAAGAAAATGAAACACTAGAATGAAGTAAGCTGTATGTCTACCAGAAACTGCTGCTTTCAGTTCTACTGTTGAGTTCAACTTGGTGTCCGGAGAAAGCTGTCAATGTATGTTGACAGGTTGTCTCCAAGTTGAAAAACTGTATTTGATTTGACAGACAAGAGAAGAAATTTAGGACTCAAAAAAAATGTTCCCTGTAGAACCAGAGAAAAAAATATTCAACTTCATTCTTCGTGGGGGTCATCCGGAGATATGAGGGCAAGCTTGCCCAGATCACATTTTCTGTTACACAAATAGATAATTACAGGCAAGCTGCTAAACATGGTGCTCAAGCCACACTGCAGAATGCTCCATGAAGGTTTTGAGGAACTGCCAAGAAAAACCTAACACAGGACTTAGAGACTCTTGGCTGAGTGGGGGACGCTGCAGGTCACTGTGCAGGGGCAAGGACAACACAGAGGTGGCCAAGGAAGACCAAGAAGAAGCATAAGACTTGGAGGAGCTGCTGTAGAATTCCACAGACAGCAGTGCAGGAATGAACTCGGCTTTCAGCTTTTTTCCTAAAGCCACAGAATACTCCCTTCCAATAACCGAAAAAACCTTACCTGGAAACCCGGTATGCAAAATCTATAAAATGCCTGCTCTCTGAGGCTCAGTCTAAAAGGCAGCACAGACGGAAGTAAGGAATACATCACTGCTTGGGAGGGAACCCGTTCCTGCGCTCCCGTCTCTGCTTCGCCCTTCCCTGACTCCTTTGCTGTTTCTTCCTTGAAGATCATCCACACGCACACCCCCAGGGTCTTCTTTTACTCTGATTTGTACATGAAGATGAAAAAACAAAACCCCAAAGAAAATAGTGGAGTCTAGAAAGTGAGAAACAATCAGCTGTGACACCTAACATCACAACATATTCTGACCATTGGACAAAGTAAGTACTGAAAAAATGAAGCTGCTATGGTATTTGCTAACATTTTGCTATCTTTAAATCTGAAAAATGTACTTCATCAAAAATTAAACAGGAACTAGACTTATTCAGGTCAAAGTGAATTCAAATCAAAGTGAATTCTATGTTTGGTGGTAAATTTTTTCACACAAAGACATCTTCCTGAGAAAAACAAAAGGATAAAGCCCATCTGCCTCATTAGATAGTTTGTGTAATTAGACTGAAAATAGCCACATTATTCTTTCCTCTGGAATACCTACAGCAATTAAAATAATAACAATAGAAACAGCAACAGAAGACTGCCTGTCATGTGATTTACCCTCACATGATTTTATACAAGGGTTTTAAAATATCTTTGAAAAGGTACCCAAGTTCTAGGCAGTTATCCCAAAAAGTATGAACAGAGAGCTTTTTTAAACTGTAAAATTGGGCCTGGGGTTTAGCTCAGCGGCATAAGCGCCTGCCTTGAAAGCAGGCAGTCGTGAGTTCGATCCCTGGTACCGATAAAAAGGAAAAAGACAAAAAAAAAAAAAAAAAAAAAAAAAAAAAAAAAAAAACTGTAAAACTGCTTTTTCTTCTTTTTTCTTTGTGATACTGGGAGACTGAACTCGGGGCCTTCACACTGAGACACATGTCCTCAATCCTTCTGAGCTAATTTCTCGCCAACTTGTTAAGTTGATTAGGCTGGGCTCAGACTTGTGGTCCTCCTACCTCAGCCTTCCAGAGACCTGGGATTACAGGCATGCACCAGCCTGCTTGCTCTCCCCTCCCTCCTGTCCTTCTATGCTAGGGATCAATGTGCAATTTACTCTGCTTAAGCAGAAACGTATTTTACATTTTAGTATTTCTATAAAACTTATCAAGTCATTCACTGATTACAGATGGGTTTGATTATTTTACTTAAAGCACCTAAAACTTTCCTAGTACTATAGATACTCCAATATAAGGGCAAAATAAATAGACTCTGATAGCTTATGTTGGAGCAAGGCTGAGTAGACAGTGAGCTGCTGCAGAAAGGGTCACACACAGGCGCCTGGGGAAGGACACATAGTGGCAATGGCCAAGACCGGCAGAGACATCCTGACAACAAAGCACACTGACTCTAACAGCAAGTAAGTGGAGAAGAAAAACACAGGCAGGGAAGGTAGGGAAGAACACCCCAGTGTCTTTACCTGTAGGAGAAGTTCCTGTAGCTGGGCCCGCTTCTGCTTTATCCGTTCTATCCGCCTCTGCTTCTCTATCTTTAAAATATAAGTTATAAAATAACACAAAGTATCACTCCATTGTTGGGCCCTTATTCTAAGATAACAATAATTTTCCTTACAACAGTTCAATCTACTTTGACAGATGAAAAGACAAATTATCTCCTTTGGAAGGAAGGGCTGGGGTAGGGAAACAAGCACGACAGCAATGTGGCCGTGGTCATCACAAACAAAACCCATCTGCATGTAACCGACAGACAGGCACAAGTGTGCAGCGACATTTCAGAGACGGCTGTGGAGATGAGGCAGGACGAAAAAATATGCTGCATATTTAAAATTTTAAAAAAGGATCACAGTGAAAGACACATTGCAATCAAATTCCCTCAAAATTCTCCCCTCATTTCCAACACACTTGTTGCACGGCTGCTGTCACTCTCTGAAGCAGTTCTGGATGTCCTCTTTTCTGGTTTTATTTGCGCTGGCATGGCTGCCTTGATGTCTTGAATCGATTCACAACATTTATCTTTCATGGTGATTTGGACTTTGGGGAGGAGCCAGAAGCCACACAGTGCCAGACCCCCCAAGTACACTGGATGGGGACGCACCATGCTGGACGGCACCCAGCAACAACATTCATGGAATTTTTGATCACACCTCTTAAAGACGCTCACGTAAGAAGAGTCACAGAACTGCTCCAGAAACTGCTAAGAACAATGAGATAATTGTGTTCGATGGGATAATGACGTTCAAAGTGAGGACGGTACTTTGAAGAAGGTTAGCATCAGTGTGTCTTTTACTATGGTAAACTTCTAAGTATCTACCCTATACGCTTATTATCCTGTGTATGACAGTGGTCCTATAAGATTATAATGGACCAAGAATCTCCCATTTCACAGCAACACCAGCACAAAGCGTCACCCATGTATCTGTGGTGACATTGGTGCAAATAAAGTCAACTACCCTGCCAGTCACATAAAAGAGCACATACGATTATGCACTGTACGTGGTACTTGACCATAAATTACTAACTTGGTAGCTTAGGTGTTCACTAGACTTTTTAATTATTATTTTACACTATACTCCTACTTAAACAAAGTGACGCAGCAAGCAGGACACCTCCCACAGCCCTGTTTCACGAGTCTCCTGACTGCACCAAGAGGCCGTACTGAATAATGAGCCCGCACCATCAGGCTTTCCTGAGTCTGCCAGGATGCTTACACAACACAACAGTGACATCGGTCAAGGCTGTGTCTTGGGGGAATGTATTTCCCATGGCTAGTGACATGTGACTGAACGTGGTATCAACACTTGATGCTATTATTACTAACAATCTTATCAAAGTCAGTAGTACCACTTAATTTATACTTATTCTATGTTCCAGCACTCAACTAAGTATATACATTACCTTAATTCGTCTTCACAAACACCTTATGATTTTGGATTTTTTTTTTTTTTTTTTGAGTCAGGGTTTTGTCACGTAGTTCAGACTGTTCTTGAGCTTACCAGCCCAGGCTGGCCTTGAACTGCCTCTCTTTCCCATGTTCCTCCTGCCTCAGCCTCCCGAGTGCTGGGATTATAGGCATAAGCTACTACACCTGGCAATGTTTTTAGTTTAATGAGTAGAGCTCATAACAGAGAGATTCCTTGTTGTATAAGGTCATGTCCCACTTACAGTAAGAAAGAGCTTGTGGGATAGATCTCCTGGCTTTAAATTGCTATTTTTCTCAATGTTACAACTAGCTAGGCAACAGATGTTAGGCTCTGAACTTCCTTGCAGTTGAGTTTCTCACTGTCTTCTTGTATAGGCATCTACTGGAGATGCAACTGGCCCAACACCAAACCACAATGGATTTATAGATGCTGAAGTTTTGTGCCACCGAGTCAAAACTAAAATACTTCTTCATCTCCCAAAAATTAACGGAGAGAACATCTAAATCCCCAACAGGCCAGTTTAGAGGAATCTCACTTCCCTTTGTTTTAATCCTTACAAGGAAAGTAACTAAAATGACAGTTCACTTTTTTTTTTTTTTTTTTTAAGACTAGTCAAGTGCAGTAGTGAGAAGGAGTAGGACAAGGAGTTCAATCTGTACTGACTGTGAACAATCATTTGAGATAACTCACTACCTTCGGACCAGCCAACAGTTCACTTTTTGTTCTGTTTATTTTTTCAGTCCCTTTTTCTGCTTATAAAAAGCCAACCTCCTCTGCCCATAATACTCATTCTTACAATAAGTAATACTCATACTTACAATAAAGTGCTGCCCTATTCTAAATTCACAAATAAAGGCAATTAAGATCTTTAAAGTTGTACTTTCATCTTTTGAGAATTTCCAGTCTGTTTCCTATCTGCTCAGTCTGCATTAGAATTCACACTCAGCTCCTCTAACCACCCTCTTCACACTGCAGCTCTAAATTACGTAGAACTAATCCTAACGTGCGCATATCTTCTGCATTAAAAAGATGCTGTCGGCTTTTCCCCCAGCATCCACAGCCAAAGCCCCTTCCCGTCCATGTGCTCACATCCAGTCAGGTCAAGCTGCACGGATTCTCCCCTAAAGCACCTGCAAGCTTTGCTGCCAAGCTTCACCCAGACCACAGCCCCTGACCTTCTTCTCTGCCACATTTCCTACTTGGGCCTGTTAATTGTTTCTGCCTGCAAGTTCCACCTCCTTAGTTGCTTGGTGAATTCAACGCCTCCCTTAGGACTGGCTCCAGATTTATTTCCCTGGTAAAAACCTCCCTTAACCCTCTTCCCAGAGAATCTACACATACTTCTTTCATAGGAACAACCACATTTTCCTCTCTTTTCCAGTGCGGGAGATAGAACCTAGGGTCTCATACTTGCTAAGTAAGAACTGCCCCCCTGAGCTACATCCCAATCCACAGTAATCACAGATTTCTGGTAACTCTTTTACATCTTTGCTCCTCCTTGTTAGAATAAGGACTTAATCTTAAGGTCAAGTTTTGTCTTGTTTAGCTTATGGCTAAGCACAGGGTAGGTGTTACAGACTTCTGCGTAGTGAATCTTTGGTATCAGTTTAGTATTACTGATAATACAGTTATAATGATGTTCAAATAAATTCCACTGTCTTAGGTAGAAAAAAATGAGAATGGGAAAACATTTTTATCCTAGCATAAGATAACATTAATTCTGTAACCTCTGCTGAATGAATGGTTTCTCCAGCTGCTCACAAGTATAACATGCCAAATGATCATTTATTTGCTGGAAGGAAGAAAGGACTGAGAACAATATAAAGTCAACTTTATCTCTCCAAAAGCTATTAACCCTTGGTTTTCTCAATTTATGGCCACAAAGTAAAAACAGAGCAACAGAATGTCAGGGAACATGCTTGTTTAGGGAAGATTTTCTATAGTGTTTAACACTAACAGCATTCAAAATGTTTCATACATCATTCCCAATTCATGGAAGCTGAATATTCCACCCATTCCGATGGACACAACTGAACTGCCATTCCTGTTGGTACTGACTTCAGACTCAAAAGGTAAAGTTTAACATCATAGCTCCACACAGAATATTGTGTAACACCACAGCAAACAGTCAGCTTGATCCACACAGCTGTACTGTGCATCAAAACGTTTACTAAAATAATATTTCTATTACATGATTCGCCAAAAATGTATTACAAGAGTGCTCAGAATTAAAGTACAGCAAAATGGTTATCTTCTCTAAGAAACCTCGAAAAACAAATGTAGTCATTAGATCATTTACAAAATTAACTGCACTACCTCTATATCACCCAAAGTCTAAAATTCTACACTGTTAAAAGAAAATGTCAGCACAAATGAATAAGCAATTGAGAGTATTTTACTATTCTATGATTACTGGCATATTTCTAAACTAAAATGCTTCTGGTGTAAAATAACATAAACTACCATCCAAAAATTGATATTCCTCACTTACCTCCAGGTTTTGACATTCCTGAGCAGAATTGGTAGGCAGACCAATCCATTTGATTTCTTTTTTTTCCTTTGAAATTATGTTCATAGCCATTAGCACATTTAAAGCATCATAAACTCTTCGCCTAATGTTCTTCTGATCATAAGCCTGCTAAAAATTATTCTTATTGAGTGAAAAATTTTAAGGGTTAAGACAGTCATGTATTATTAAATTAATAATGTTAGAATATCTTCAAAGTACTGAAAGAATTCTATACTCAATAAAAATATCCTTCAAAATTAAAGATGAAATAAAGATGCTTTCAAACAATATGAAACATTAAATAACCTGAGAAATTTAAAAAATTATGTACTATCAGATCTATATTAAAGAATTATAAAAAGACTTCTTCAGGTAGAATAACAATCATTTAAAATAGGAGCCGGGAGATGGAGGATAGAATAAAGAACAACTACAAAGGTAAAATCACTGGGTGTAGTGGTACATATCTGAAATCCCAGAACTCAGGAGACTGAGGCAGGAGGACCACTGAGAATTTGAGGGCAGCCTGTGTTACACAGCAAGACCTTGTCTCAAAACAAAAACAAAAAACCCAAAACAAACAAATGGTTAACATGTGGATAAATCTCAACTTTATACTATATTTTAAAAATGTCTCACAGACTACAGACACAAAACTAATATATATGGCAATAATAGTACACACATGTCTACATCATCTCAGAAAGGAATAGTGTAGGTATTCTAAGTGGATTATCTGGATTTTAAAAACATTCAATAGTACATACTTTAAGTTTTAGGTTAAATGGCTTCTTAAAATGTGGCCCATGGACCAATTCTCACTGGCAAATAATTTTCATTCCTCAATAGAAATAAGAACTTGCACCAAAATGTAACGACTATATCATCAAGCACCCTATTTCACCCCTCTCTCCCTCTCTTTCCTTTGTTTTTGTACAAAGATTTTTTTCCATGAAGGAAAATTGTGATGACTTAGATGGTACAACAAGTTCTTTTATTTAAGTACTGCCGGGGAGTTCCTAAGAACAAAAACCAGTTAGTTAAATGCTCTGGTTCAGGATGGTGGAAGTCGGGTATGGTGTAAATGCCTGTAATCCCAGTTACTTAGAGGCCTAGATAGGAGAACCACCAAATGCAAAGCAAGCTTGGACAACTCAGCAAGACTCTTCCTCAAAACAGAGCTGAACTATGGCTGGTGCCATGTATCTAATCCCAGTGCTTGGAGGGCGGGGTGGGGCTGAGGCATTAGGGTCACAAATTCTTGCCCAGCTTGAGCAACATAGTGATTTAGCAAGACTCTATCTCAAACTACAAAATTAAAGACTATCTCAAAATATAAAATTAAACGTAGCTTAGTGGGAAACCCTAGGTTCAGTACTCAGTATATATATCTAAACAGTAAGAGTGGGGGCTAGTTGGATGAGGCAGCACATGCCTGTAATCTCTACACTAGCACCACTCAGTGAGACCTTGTCTCAAAAAAGAACTAGAAGTGGTGGCGACTACATGTAATTCCAGCACTCGGGAGGCTGAGCCAGGAGACCTGCTATGAGTTCAGGGCCAGCCTGGGCTACATAGTGAGTTTAAGGCCAGCTTGAACTATATGGTGACTCCATCTCAAAAAACAAAACCAAGTAAGACAAGGCAAGGTTTGAGCAGGCAGCTCAATGGTTGAAGGCTTCCCTAGCATGCATGAGGCCTTGAGTTCATTCCTCAGTACAGCAAAAGAAAAAAGAATTTCTGAGGTAAGTTAAGTAAAATTAAGAACGTAGCATTTGCCAGGTGAGGTGGTACAACTTGTTATCTCAGTACTCTAGAGGCTGAGGCAGCAGGATCATTGTAAGTTTGACATCAGCCTGAACTACACAGTGAAACCCTATCTCAAAAACATACACACACACACACACACACACACACACACACACACACACAAACAAAACAAAACACCCCAGAATGTAGCATGCAAAGCATGATCATTTTGTGTTTAAAACAAAATAGAATAGTCAAGTGTGTGGCACTCGCCTATAATACCAGCACTTGAGAGGCTGAGGCAGGAGGATCTTTGCGAGTTTGTGACCAGCCTGGGCTACAAAGTGAGCTCAAGGCCAGTCTGAACTGCATATGAGACTCTATCTCCAAGAGACAAAAAATAAAATAAAAATAATAAATAGAAGATATTTTTAAATTACGTACTACTTTGTACAACTGGATTTTTTTTAAGCAACTGGATTTTATTAAACATGATCATGTATTACTTTTACAATTAAAAATATTGCCTTGTTCACTTAAGACAATGAATAAAAGGTAAGGCTTCGAAAGTATATGAAATCACTAGTAAGTGACTGAGTCTATCCTTACAAAAGATGCTCCCTCAGTATCCCCCTAAACTGTTTTTAGACAGGGTCTTTTTATGCAGTTCAGGCTGTCCTTTAACTCATTATGTAGCCTGGTCTGTCTTGAACTTATGGCAATGCTCCAGCCTCTGTCTCTCACAGTGTTGGGATTACAGGTGTGTGTGTGGCACCATTCCAAAATTATTTTTTTAAAGGTATCTTTGTTTTTGTAAGTAATAACTTTTTGCCAAACAAAACAAAAAATATATAATTTACAATATCAAGTAATGGACTCCTAGCTTATATGATTCCTCAAATCTGTGCCACAAACAACCCTAAGAGATGAACCACAGCATCACTCATCACAACCCAGGTCAAGTTCGTGATCCACCTACCGAATCAGCCGCCAGATGATTATTTGAGTTGGTGAACTCTGATACCAGCTCATCAGCTACTTCATTATACGATGTTGTACCTTTCCGCTGAACTTTTTCACACACTTTCATTGAAAAATGTCTCAGGCCTTTTCCATTTTTATCTCCTTTTTTGCTTCGTTTACTAGAAGAAAAAAAAAGTATAGTCGACTTATCAGAGACTTCCTTCACAAAACTGTAAGAAAAAAATGTAAGTTTTTGCTTCAAGTGGTAAAAATTTAAATTGAATATACAAGAAAATGTTTTCAAATTTAATTTTTGTCTTAAGAGGCTAATAAAGTAAAAAATACTTTCTATACATATCACTCATTTATTCAGCAAATTTTTATGAGTTACTGTTACATGCCATACAATATTACACACAGTGAAAATAAATTAGCAAAAGTGACAAAATCTCCAACTTTCTATAGCTCGCATAGTAGTCAACATTTAATACTTACCTTTTGTTTACTATGTGCATTATGTACACTAGTTTTTCCTCACAATTAAAGTGTTAGCATTCTCAAATTTATGTATCTACCTTTTTTTTTTTTGCATGCTAGGGATTGAACCCAGGTTTCCACAAATGCTAAGCGCACTGTACCACTAACCTACAACCCCAATTCTTAACAATTTTTTGGGAGGTGATAATGGTAAAGACACTCAAGGCTTGCACCTTGAGCTATATCCTCAGCCCATTTTTCCACTTGAGACACAGTCTTGCTAAGGCCCTAACGTGTCCAGGCTGGGTTTGAACCTGTAGTCCTCCTGTGCTGCTCAGCCTCCCAGTGAACTCCCAGTGAGCTACAGGTGTATACTATCACGGCCCAATCCATTTGCAACTGAAGATCACTGGTTAACATTGGATGTAAGTCTTTAAGTTTGGTTATTGTTAAAGCCTAAACTTTGCTAACTTAATCATTAATATTTAGGAGGTTTTGGTATAGTTCCACTAATATGTGAGCATCAATTATATGCTAAGAACTTTGTTGGGCACCAGAAGTACAAAGACTGAAGAAAAATCCTTCCCTCAGTATGAGTCTTAGATTAACAAAGATAGACAGATACATAATGACAACTCCAATATTATAAAGTAAGTACCATGTCAGAATTATTCAGTGTCTTACACACAGTACAAAAAGGAACATCTAATGTAACCCACGGGTAGATGATCTGTTGGAAGAAAGTCATGAACAAGGTAAAAGCCAAGGGAAGGAAGTTGGAATGGCTACCAAGCAAGAGAATCAATAGTAGCGAGACAGCCATACAGACAGGTAAAACAGGTCAAACATGTAAAAGACTTACAAACAGAGCAGGGTTACCCAAATATAAAATGCAAGGCAAATGAGGAAGAAGAAACATAAGCAAGAGGTCAGGCCATACAGAGGAACCCGGACTGCATCTTACATACTCCATCAGTAAGATTATATTTATTGATACATTATTTATGTTCTCTTGATATATGACATTGAGTATGCATTTTTCAAAAGAGTGAAATGAGGAAGGGGACATCCACTTTCTTTTCCCTACACTCCGCAAACATCTTCTACACACTCTTTGCAGAACAGGTACCTCACAACACTGACTGCTCCTAAATGCAGTGAAACCACTAAGTGAGTTATTTAAATGTGTGTCTGTGTGTGTGTGCGGCAGGAGGGAACATAACAAGATTCTCAGTAAGGAAAAACTCTTACTGTAAAAGAGATTAATTTATAGAGGGAAAAAACAATGACAGAAAGCCAAGCTTATTCCAATAGCCCAAGCAAGAAATGATGAGTTCTGAAATGGGGGTGGGAGCGAGAGGGCTGCAAAATGGTGATTTATAACTTTTATATAAATTACACACTAAAAAGCATACCTTTTACTTAATCCATTGGCTTCTTTTTTGTTTTTGTTTTGTTGGTTTTGGGTGCTGAGGTTACACCAAGAACCTCATGCAAGCTAAGCAAGAGGTCTACCACTGAGCTACAGCCCTAGCCATAGGGTCTTTACTCATTATCAGTTGTTATGCTATTGCCTTTTTAGTCTTTTGACAAGGTTGTTATCTAGTGAGTTCTTTAGGTAGGACAGTAGGCATGAGGGTTAATATTGGCTGTCAACTCCATTAGACTGATGTCTAAAAATAAGAGGAGCACACTTCTGAGTGTGTCTGAGGGTGTTTCCAGAAATGACGGGGTTGAAGACTCCAACGTCACTAGAGGATCAATCTAATGATGAGTCCCTACCTGACAGCATTATTAGGAAGTGAGAACAAAAGGTAGGGCTTAGGGGAAAGAAGTTGATCTCTCTCTTTTTTTTTTTTTTTGGTCTTTTTCATTTTTATTGGTACCAGGGATCGAACTCACGACTGCCTGCTTGCAAGGCAGGCGCTTATGCCACTGAGCTAAATCCCCAGCCCCAAAAGAAGTTGATCTTAAGGATGTGACTTGGGGAACTACTGTCTGGCCTCTGGTTCCTCCTCCCTGTCACTGCTTTCTGGCTGCCTTGGGGTGAGGAGCTTTCCTCTGCTATGTCCTTAGGTCCTGTTTCTGTCTTGGAGCCAGGGACTGAAACCTTTAATTTGTATATGCCAGGTACTGTATATTGTCCCAGCAACAGAAAGGCGACAAATACTGCCAGGTGTGGTGGCGCATACCTGTAATCCCAGCACTCAAAAGGCTGAGGTAGGAGGAACAACTCGAGTTCAAACCCAGCCTAAACTACTTGTTGAGATCCTATCTCAAAAAGGTGTGTGTGTGTGTGTGGGGGGGGTGGACGCAACTTTTAAGATGATAATGTGGTGAACATCAGAAACAGCCTTTTAGAGATTTGGTGTCCAGAAGAGAAGAAAGGAAGTGGGTCCCCCAGCAAGGATCTTAAGTGAAAACTGATACCCATGGGAAGAGTGGAGAGACCTCAGTGCAAGAGGAGGTGGCTAGCAGTGCTTTCTCCCTGCACTTGACATACTGCATGGGAGGGTTGGGCTGCACCTGCAGCATGGTGACTACTTGTTACCTAGAGGCCTCCAGGGAGAAATGCAAAGTGGAACATAGCAGTGGACAGTGGTCTGTAGTGACTGGTGAGTTATTTGGATTCAGATGCCCCTGGAAGAGGTGAGTTGACCAGCAGCCATCTTAGAGAGGGGCCAATGAGCTTGGAACTCTGAGCAGCTGCAGGCCAGCTCCATCTATCTAGTGGTTCCCAGTGTGAGGGTGAGGTGGGACAAGGATGTCAAGGAGACGATTTCAAACTGGCAGGTGGCACAAAGTGTTACAGGCTGAACAGATCAGGTTCCAGCCCTACAGCTAGAAACCATCCTGAACTTCGGTAAATCTAAATGTGCAGGCTTCCTGGGATTATTACCTCGAGGTGAATCTGCAGATTTCATGCTGGGATTAATTAACAAGGATATGGGTTCTGTCTGCCCACTCTGTCTAAGAATGACAGCAGAGACATGCCCAGAAGAGGACATTTGCTTCTTTCTTTTTTTGTTGTTATTGCTATGTTCTGTTCTTGTTTGTATTTCTTTTTTTTTTTTTTTTTTCTTATCTTATTGGTACCGGGGATCGAACTCGTGACTGCCTGCTTGCAAGGCAGGCGCTTATGCCGCTGAGCTAAATCCCCAGCCTTGTTTGTATTTCTTTTCTTTTCCTCTTGTCTTCTTCACCAATTTCCCAGTTTACATAATCTTCTTTTGCTCTCCAGCCTTGCTTGTAATCCCTATTACAACCCGAACTTCCAGCTCACCAAAGGTAAGCCCAGGGGGCAATGAGGTGGAACAATTTGAAGGCCACCCATCTGGGCTCTGAAGTGGTAACAGCAAAAGTAAGAAAGCAGATATATAAGGCTCTCAAAAAAATGAAACCAGAAATAATTTCTCAGATAACTACAGAGACGGTTACCATACTGAAAGACATGGTTAGTGACTCTACATACAGATAAAAACAGAGATGAGTTATGCAAAATGATGGAAACCATGAATGATTAACACAGGTAACAGAGTCCATGAGAAAGATTAAGCAGATATCCAGAATATTATAAAATTCGCTGAAAATACATGAAGTAAAGTGAACCAATGTGAGAACAGAGTATCAGATACATAAGATGGGATTTTGGTTAGTGATACTGAAAAGAATGTTTTCCTAAAAATAGCAAGGGACCAAAACAAAACAAAACCAAAAAATAATCAAACCAACAGCTGCTAGGCGATGCAAAGAATAATCTAAGATTGATCAAGTTTAATGAAAAAGCAGGGGAAAGTACAAATGATATTAAAAAAAAAAATACCTGTTCACAGAAATAATGGAAGAAAACTTCCAAGGCAAGGGAAAAAGAACTGGACATACACATAAATGAAGCATGTGGAATTCCAATTAGCCATGATTTTAAAAAATGGAACAAAACAAAACTCCAAAGCATGTAACAGTAAAGATTCCAGAAATTCAAAACAAGAACAGAATATTAAAAGTTGTTAGAGAGAAAAAAACAAACCACCTATAATGGAAAGTCCATTAGAATCACAGCAGACTTCTCAACACAAACCCTCAACTCAAGGAGATACTGGGGTGAAGTATTCCGAGACCTAGAAGAAAATAACCTCCAGCTCAGATTGATATATCCTGAAAAAAAAGTTTCTGGAGAAATAAGACACTTCCATGGCAAAAAACCACCTGAAGAAATTGATAATCATCATACCAGCACTGCAAAATGTTCTGAAGGATATGCCAGACAGAGGTAACAAGGACTCCATGTACTCCAACAGAATGAATCCATCAGGGAGGGAAAAGTAAATGAACAGTGTGGAGGTGGTAAAGGAAACCAACAACAGGAAAATAATATGATAAGGGAGAGTTGATACATATCCATCAAATAAATGGTGTCAATTAACCAATCAAAAGAAAAAGTCTGAAAGAGTGGATCAAGAAGCAAGATATAACAGGGGTAACTATTCTATTTGCAGACAAAGCATAACTGAACACAAGACTGATTATGATCCAAGAGGAAGAGAAAAAAAAAATATATATATATGCCACATACCAGCATACCCAACTATATAAAGTATTAATGGGCATGAAAATCAAATAAGCACTAATGCAATTGTACGGGGGACCCAATACCCCATTGTCATAAATAGAACTAGAGAAAAAAAGATCAACAAGGAAATAG